ACCACGAAAAGTTGAACAAGAACCTGGATGATGAGATGAAAGCTCGTAGGAAGCTTGAGTTAGAGGTCAGACAGCTCAGAGCCCTGATTCAGGAGAAGGAGCACACTCTGGCTCACATGGATGAACGTCAGAGGAAGATTCAAGTGGAGTCGGAGCTCAGGCAGATCAAATCTCGCATTCTTGAACTGGAAAACGCTCCAGCACCCATTGAGGAAAAGATCATAATCGAGGAGGTCCTGAAAGTGGAGAGGGATGCAAAGCTGGAAAAACTCACTGATGGTATTCGTGTTAACATGGAGACAGAGGCCAACAACATCCATCGCCTGGAGAGAGAAATACGCAACCTAAAGGTCAAACTGGAACTTCTGCAAAAGGAAAAGTCATTGGAGAAGGTTGTTTACCGAGAAGTTGTGCGTGTAGAGAAAGACCCAGCACTAGAGGCTGAGAGGGAACATCTGAGAGAGCTAGTATCACACGAGAGAAATCTCAGACGAGACCAGGAAGATAATGTTCAGAACATCAACATCAAAATTGTTCATATACAGACGTCGAAGTCTGTGACCTCTCATGAGGGGAAATCTCTCGTCGGTATCAGAGATGGTCTGCAGAGGGAGAAGGAGGATCTTCTCAGACAGCTCAAAATGCTCGAGTCTCAGAAACAGAACATCAGCATTACCTTCCAGCAGCAATCCAAACTGATGAGTGAGAGATCCCAGATCGCACGGCAAAGGAGTCTGAAGGTATCCAGTGAGATACAACGGCTGGAGAGAGAGATCCTCAAAGAGAAGGACAACATACACGAGAAGGAGACCATCATCATGGAGCTGCAGGGCAGAGTTAAGAACGAGGATCAGAGCGAAACTCACACCAGAGAGTCAAACCTCTCCACGAAGATCACCATCATGGATCCAGAAACCGGCAAAGACATGTCTCCCTATGACGCCTACTTGCAGGGGCTGATTGATCGCAAGCAGTACATTCACCTGGCGGAATTGGAGTGCGACTGGGAGGAAATCACCTCAACTGGTCCAGATGGGGAGACAACAATTTTGCAGGATCGAAAGAGTGGGAAGCAGTACTCTGTCAAGGACGCTCTGAGGGACGGTCGCTTAACCCATTATGATCTTAGCCGCTTCAAGGAAGGGAAAATGCCCATTTCCGAGTTTGCTCTCCTTGTCGCCGGGGAAACCAGAAAGCCCATCCTTCCTCCGATAGCAGTCCCCCCGAGATCACCCACGAAACCCGCTCCAGCCTCTCCCTTAAACACCATGCCAAGCTCTCTTAGGACCTCCTACACCAGCCTCAACACTCACTCCAGTACCAGTTTGAACAACGTCTCTTCTTCTGTGGCCGTTGCTTCTGCAGGCGATGAGCATTTTCCAATCTCCGGTATTTTTGACACCACCACTGAAAGCCGCATGTCTGTGAGGAGTGCTCTCACTCGCAAACTCATAGATGCCGATACAGCTCTGAAGTTGCTCGAGGCTCAGGCAGCCTCCGGGGGAATTGTCGATCTCGCCAATAAGGACAAATTGTCCGTCCACAAGGCAGCTGAACATGGTTTCATTGACTCGGGTCACATGTATAAACTTCTGAATGCCCAGAAAGCCTTCACTGGAGTCGAGGATCCTGTGACTAAAGCACGTCTCGCAGTAGGACCAGCGGCTCAGAAAGGATATATCCCCAAAGAGAATGCTAAAAGATACATGGAGGCGCAGTACCTGACCGGTGGGCTGGTGGATCCCAGTAAAGCAGGTCGCCTCAGTGTCAAAGAAGCTCTCGCCAACAATTTAATTGACAGCACAACTGCCAGTGAGCTGGAAGATGAGGCTTCCTACAGGAAAGAGCTGGAAGACCCCATCACTAAAGAGAAGATATCATACAAGCAGGCGATGGATCGGTGTAAGAGAGACGTCAGCACCGGACTCCTGCTGCTTCCTGCGGCCTCGACAGACGCCGGAAATGCTCCGTCATACTCAAACTATCGATTCAGCTCCTCTTACAACAAATATTAGACGTGCAGACTGTTGCTCGAGGCTGAACACCAAAAACATGTACATGTAAAGAAACAGATACACATTTTCACACAACTTTGAAAACAAGAAAAAATCAAATTTTTGGTGGATTTGCTTCTTTTTTTTTTCCTGTTTTGGATCTTCTGTAAAAATGGGGGAAATGTTTTGCATGTTGTTTTGTTTTTTCTCAGCTTTCTCAAACTAAATCCTCCGTAAGTTTTCATTAAACTCCACAAAGTTCACACCCACGTCTCTCTTCTTATTTCAAATATTTACTCTTTCTCTCTCTCTCTATTTACTCATTAAGCTCAATTTTGCTTAATGATCTCCGACTTTTCCTATAGCGCCACCTTTAGGTTGAATCAGTGGTTTTAAGTCAAACATCTCAACAATTGTTTGAAGGGTTCCCATTCATATCACATTCTTCCAGATGAATTATAATTTATAACATGATTAAAAACTTCAAACATTCCTGTCAGTGTCAGTTATTGTTGTTTATATACGCTTTAGAAAAAAACTGTATCTTCCCATGTACAAAAAAGTACTTCCTCCAAAAGACAGTAAATCGTCTGCTGTATCTAACACCTTGTGTCAAAATATCTGTACGATGCTCGTAAACCCCGATGACTCATATGCTTGTAAATGATGGATTAAGGATACAGATTAAATATGACTCACGCACCAGTGTGCTTAATCTAAGAAGGTCAGACTCCTGCGTCTGCATGGATGAGGCACGTGTCCATTAAAAGACCACGTGGACATTGAAAAAACAGCCAAACAACTGTGAACATTAACAATAAACTTTTTATATCGCACCTTTCAAAACAGCTCAAGATGTGAATCAAAGATAACGAACAAAATAAACACATTAGTTAAAAGACAAGTGAAAGAGATCGTAAAACAGTTGAATAATAATGATGAAATAAAACAATAATGGCATCTGGACCCATTTAATGTTGATATGTGTTATTTGTCTCTGACCGTGTTTGTATTTGAACGTTTTTTACTTCATCTTGTTGAGGACTCCCTGGCAGAAGCATTATCATATCTCCTGGTTAAATAAAGTATAAATTAATTAGTTGTGAGCTCACCTGACCCCCCACAGCGGGGGTTACAGTAAAGGATGTTGATGTGGGAACTTGCTGCCTCCGATGGGATTTCTGTCTGACCGATTACCTGGTGACGGAGAGGACTTTGTGGGATTACTGCACATGAGCCTGTCTGGAGGCTGAAGTGGCCGAACTCTGTGTCTGGAGCAGGGAGTAGGATTTTCCCTGGTGGTTGTGTCATCTCACATGAAGGTGGTTCGATACTTTTAATGACGAAACCAAAGTGAACCTGATGACTGCTCTCCTGCTAAACAGCCTGAAAAACAACCAGTAATATATCTGCACAGGTCACAGAAACACAAACAGCCCCTATGACTAGTCTGTTGATGTACAAGATAATTGGCAGCTCCTCTTTGTCTTGCTGGTTTGTTATTATTGTCATTATGCTGATGGTTGAAACCTTTTTGACGATGAGCATGTGCGCATTTCCTCTCTCATTCACTCGCTCCATCAATGATGATGATGAAGCCTCCTGTGCACCTGCCCTGCAATCATGTCAACACCACATCAATTGAACCGCGGCACTGTTCAATGGCACCTCCTGGTTTTCTCCCTCTTCAAACGACAATACCAGCAGCCGGGAACATATTTTATTGATTTAAGAGAAAAATGTTGATCCAGACTTTAGCGCTGTTATTGAAAATTGAATATGATGTAAACAAATATTAAAAAGTAAAGACAAAGAAACCACTAACCCCATCCCCAACTGTAACCCTTACCCCTAACCTAACCCTAATAAAGACCCTAATTCCAACCCTAACCCCTAACCCTAATCCTAATAAAGACCCTAACTGTAACCCTAACCCTAATTCAACCCTAACCCTAATTCCAACCCTAACCCTAATTCAACTCTAACCCTAATTCCAACCCTAACCCTAATTCCAACCCAACCCCAATTCAACCCCTAACCCTAATTCCAACCCTAACCCTTACCCTAACCCTAACCCTAGCCCTAATTCCAACCCTAACCCTAACCCTAATTCCAACCCTAACCCGAATTCAACCCTTACCCTAACTCTAACCCTAACCCTAACCCTAGCCCTAA